CTCTATATACATTACCCCCCTCTCTATATACATTACCCCCCTCTTGCACGCTCTGCCCCTCCTGCACACAGCCGAACGAGCCCAGTGGAGTGGGCGGGGACTGGTCAGTAGAGGCAGGGTTGCCATGGCGATAGAATGCTGACCCTGATCGGGAGCCGCGCTGTGTCAGGTATACAAGACTTGATTGAAGACAAAACTCTGAAACATTCGAGACTCTAATTGGAGACCCTCAGGGGGCGGGCTTGCGATGATCGGAAGTACGATCTGCCTGTCCAAGATGGGCAGATCGTACGTTTTATAAAGTACTTTACAGCCCTCGCAAGACAATGGTCTTGCGAGGGTTGTAAAGTGTATGGCCACCTTAAGGCCCCATTATCGCGCGTTTTTCTCCCGATTGGCATTTTGCGCAATATCGCGTGATTTGTAGCGCGATATCGCGCAAATGCCTGCATTGAGCAAGCTACAATTGGCAAAATCCTCTCCAAAAAGGGTCCTGCTGTAGCGACGCACGACCCGCGACAGCAGGACCCTTTGCCCCATTGACAAGCATTGGAGAGCGATATCGCGCGGTAAATAGCTGCGATATTGCGGGAATTACCGCGTGATAAATCGCTCAATGTGAACGGGGCCTTACTGTAGGTAGATCTAAAGGAGACTGCACAATCATATTGCATTGTGTATGGTTGTCTTAACACTGGTGACATGTTACAATCTGATTTATCAACATCAGTATAGTGGGAGGCCCTACCTGATTGCTTATCAATTGAATGCATTTTGTTTTTAGGTAGGTCCTCACATTACATGGATATTAGTAAATCTTAAAGGAGAACTATGGGGTCAGTGTTTTTCCCCATAGTTCTCCTTGGGGTAACGGGAGGACACAAACTAGCGTCCTCCCGTTACCCTAAGCTCAGTATACCGCGAGCTACAGCTCGCGGTATACTGAGACCCCGCACCTGGAGCGGATCCCGACTTAGATGACGGGATCCGCCCAGCTGCGTGAGTGACAGCTGGCTCTGCCTATCTAGAGGCAGAGCCAGCTGTACCCGCCCCCTCCCCCGTCCGTTCCGCCAGTCA